TCGTTGAAGCCCAGCCTGAAACCATGGTAAATGCCACTCAACACATACGAAACTCGTTTTAGATCAGGATAACTTTGTAACTCCAACGCGAAGTGGTCGCCCTTGAGAGGCGACACTGCGGAAACTGGAGGAAGAGCTGGAAGGGCTGAAAGGAAAATACGTCCCGATTACAGACCTGGTTGGAAGAAGAAAAGGGGGGTAGTATACTCGTGTCAGAGGGTAAATAAAGAGGCTAGTCAGCATGAGAGAGAAGGAGTAAGGCTCGAGTGAAGGATTCTGGATGCAGCGCGATGTGCGATGTCAAGGGGTAAGCCAGGGGTTATATAACCTCAACCGAATGCAGAATAAATTCAGACCGGTAAGTTGTGTGGCGAGCAGAACAAACGGTAATAACAGCAGGACACGACATCAAATTATTGTGTAGGTGATAAGCGAGCGAACTATGTCCGTATATGGCAACGRTTACAAGTCGCTAGAACGTAACTATGAGTATAACGCTATCGATGAATACGCCAAGCAAACCGTCGTATCAAGCGAGGAGGAATGAGGCAGGCGGTGTGCAGCTGCTGTCGAAACAGCCACGTCGCTAGGGCGAGCCCAACGAGCAAGCATGCAATGGCAATGAATACGACCGGCAAACTGTCGTAACAAACGATAGGGGATAATGCGCTATACTGAACTGTAGAGGCAGCCGGTTAAACGACTAATTCACTTTATTACATAAGCAAAGTGAGTCATGCGCTATACTGAATCGTGGAGGCAACCGATTAAACGATCAACCAACTACATTACTTAAGCAAGGTAAAATTGGCTATGGCAAGCCCAACGAGCAAGCATGCAATGGCAATGAATACGAYCGGCAAACTGYCGTAGCAAACGATAGGGGATAATGCGCTATACTGAACTGTAGAGGCAACCGGTTAAACGACTAACCGACTTTATTACATAAGCAAAGTAAAAGTGGCTAGGGCGAGCCCAACGGGCCAGCACGCAATGGCAATGAATACGACCGGCCAACTGTCGTAGCAAGCGAYAGGGGATAATGCACTTTACTGAACTGTAGAGGCAACCGGTTAAACGACTAACCAACTTTTAYGCAAGCAACATAAAAATCGCTAGGGCGAGCCCAACGAGCAAAACACGCAATGGCAAAGTCCAACCAACTTTATTAGTTAAGCAAAATAWAAAGTACGAGGAAAGTGCAAAGGCAATGAATACGACAGGTGAAGAGTCGTAGCAACGATTGCGAAACAATATTAACATCTACTGTGAGAGAGTCGATAAAACTAAAACTTAAAGTGTTATGACTGAGTAGGCCAWTGTTTGTAGTATGGTAAACATATTTAAAGTTAATTGCAATGTGGACAGCATGTAAACTGTCGCGTCGACCCATCGGCTTGACAAGTCGGAGAACTATTAAATTGCAAGGACTTCGAATGTACATATCAAACGGGAGGCTAAAGTGCCTGGAAAGCCGGGCCAAGGTCAGTACTTACGGTACTTTGTGCGTGAGGAGGAAGGCGACGCAGGACGGCCCATTCTCTCAGACGCGGGATTCTCGTCGCGGTGGCAATCRACTGCAGGATGGCTGCCCGAGCACTTAGAACATTTATGGGCATACCGGCATGGGTTGTAGGGCGATGAACAATGCCCCTTATTCCATGAAATACAAATGGTGCTGCTATAAGATGGCCTTTGGGATGCTCCAGCGGTGTGGAAGTTGTAAAGCTGGACGTTTATCTGTGACCAGTCGGTCAGGTGAGTTGCCGCRGCGTGTTCGCGGAAGGCTTGGTCGTAAGTAAACCACGCACGGCCCCCGAAAAGACGGTAAGTGCGGACAATAAGTAGCTTATACAAGACCAGGTCCTTCMAGCGTTGAGGGAAATGGGATGACAGTATCAGTGAGAAGATAGAAAACGCCTCGGTCCAACTAACTATGTCGTCGAATCGGCGTTTGGTTTTCTTTGGCTGGCTTGTAAGCACTAAACGACCATCTAGCATGAGTTGGGGTTCCTCAGCCGTTGCTGGGGCCAAGTTCGCGGGCATCAAATCGTTCAGGTCGATAAATTTTCCTGAAACAATCTGTGATACCAATTTGGATGGAATGGGCGAATATCCAGGGCCTACTACGAAAGGCTTGTATAATGTGGGCATGATGGAAGCCCAGGGGGATGACGCTGAAAACAACGAGCTTGGCGTACTGCCAGTGGAGCTCACACTTAATGAGGGAGGCAACGAAGCGTTGGCGTTTGGCAATGAAAATGTTGGTAAAAAGGAAGGAACTGACCTACCTCCGCTGAGGGAGCTTGCTGGGGTTTGACTGGGAGATACAGCTCCGCTTGGATCTAGAAAAGACGTTATTGTGGAGGCGAACGGGCCCTCAAGGAGCGACGAAGAGCCTTGAGTTGGTGTGGTGTTTTGAGYCGCCATTGCCTGGCTGACAGCGAGCTGAATAGCCGCCAAAACGTCTGGAGACAGCGACGCTGAAGGCGAGCCAGACGACAAGGTRGAGGACGTCGTCGACTTGGAAATTTCTGGGGAGGTTTTACTCATGTTTACAGTGAAAAAGAGGGGGGGGGACAAGGAAAAACTAGAAAAACTCTTGGTGCAAATCCACCAGCACTGCAAACACGGCAAGTAAGCCCCTGATAATGCCCTGGGTCCCTCCCGCACATTGTTGGGAAGACCGCTGAGCAGCATGCATTGTCTCGATTTTAACTTCGCCTAAATTTCATTTAGCCACATTTCTCTTCTCTTCCCTTCCCTTCTCTTCTCTTTTCTTCCCTTCCCTTCCATTCAATTCCCTTCTCTTCCCTTTTCTTCTCTTCCCTTCTCTTCTCTCCTCTTCTCTTCTCTTCTCTTCTCCTCTCTTCAGTAGCTTCAAAATAAATATTCAGAAATTCAATTTCCTTCAGCTGTTTTTCTTTCTCTCGAAAGACAAATTAGATTAAAGGATAAAAACGAAGTCCATCAATTTCTTCATCGTTTCCACTCAAGTGAGCACACTACACTTCAAAACGAAGTCAGGTGACATTTCGAAATTTGCTGATCACCAACTCACAAGTGAATTAAATTTATTTACTTACAAATATTCTTTTTTCTTTCGGCGCATTCAAAGAGGAGACAACAAGACATTCCAAATTCAACTGACATAGTTATGATTTATTTGCCCGGATTGTCAACAAACCGAATAATCATCATTCAATATTTTGGTTG